AGTCCGGATTAGATGGGCCATGGGTCTGATTCAGCAGGGCTGTTCTTATGTCCTTCTGTTCCTATCCTCTGTGATGTTGTGATCCTCTGGCTCACCACTGAGCTTGTGGGGGTGTCCTGAGCACTCTTCCAAATTTTGCTGTCCTAAGGCAATGCTGGGATTGCTTGAGCAACCCTTCAACATCTGCTACTGGTGGTCTTTCTTTAGATTAGTGTTTCCTGTACTTCTAATAGCACACATTAAAATGGGAAACAGGCTTCACTCTTACACCCCAGAAAGCTTTACTTTTTCAGGGTCCAAGAGTCCAGTTCCTGCACTAGTCACCTGGGGGGGGGAGCCCAGAACAGTGACTCTTGCAGAGTTGCAATAGGCAGATGCCCCTTAGCGTGGCTAATTCTGAGGAGTTACTAGGACAGAAACAATTGGCTCAATCAATCATACCTCGCTCAAGCAGAGATGGGGCAGAATTGCCCATCTTAACTGAACAATTGAACATGTTAGCTACATGCAGAGATACAGCAGACATACTCCTTTGTGGATGACTGCTTTGAGCTTCCAGGATATATTGATTAGTGGCTTAATTTATTTCAAGTCTTTACTGTTTCTTCCATAGTACACCTCCTTGGACCCTGACCTGGAAGGGCCAAGCAAGCCTGGTATCTTCAGTTCTCAGAAGCTAAGCAAGGTTGGTCCTGGTTTGTAATTAAGTGGGAGACCACCAGGGAATTCCAGTCACTCAGCAGAAGAAGAAGAAGAGAGAGAAGAGATTGGATTTATACCCTGCCCTTCACTTGGAGTCTCAGAGCAGCTTACAAACTCCTCTCCCTTCCCCTCCCAGACACCCTGTGTGAGGTGGGTGGGGCTGAGAGAACTCCGACACAAAGGACTCTTTCAGGAACAGCTGTGCCAGAGCTTGTGACTGACCCAAGGTCACATCAGCAGGTGCAAGTGGAGGAGTGGGGCCACTACACCAAACTGGCAAACGGCAATGGAAGGCAATGGCAACATTTTCCATCTCTTGTTTCAAAAAGCCTACAGTGCTGCCACAAGTCAGCTGCTATTTGAGGGCACTTTACACACACACACACACACACTTTTGGGGAGGGGGGCACTGCTTGTGGGTCGTTAAGGCTGAGGGAACCTGAGGACTAGAGGAACATCCCATGCAAATTCTAAAGGATGGCTCAGCATTAGATTCATAGAATCATAGACTTGGAAGGGGCCATCCAGGCCACCGAGTCCTGCTCAGTGCAGGGTCAGCCTAGAGCATCCCTGACAAGCGTTTGTCCAGCTGCTGCTTAAAGACCGCCAGTGAGGGGGAGCGCACCACCCCCCTAGGCAGCCGATTCCACTGCTCTGCAACTTTGACTGCAAAAAAGTTTTTCCTAATATCCTTTCTGCCCTTCATTTGAACCCATGATTGAGAGTCCTCTCCTCTGCAGCCAACAGGAGCAGCTCCCTGCCCTCCTCTGAGTGACAGCCCTTCAGATACTTAAAGAGAGCAGTCAATTGCCAATGCAATCCTGTTAGATAGTTTAGTATTTAATTTCTTATAAAGTTAATTCAGCAGAGTTTAGCAGAGTAAAAAATGAGTCTAAGTCCATGGTAGTTTTAAAATATAAAAGTTTACTAACAACCTATCAAGGGTAGGGTAAACAGGATGAGAAAATAACAAAGAGCTTTATTCCTACATCCTCTCATCTAGAAAACTTAACGAAGAGTAATGGAGACTGGAGCTTCTTCTTGCTCAGCGACAAAGAGCCATAAAATGCTAAATAGTAACACTCCATTCCCCAATCAAAACAACAAACTAGATCTGTATCTGGCGGGCTTTCTAACTCTCTAAGCAGATAGGATACAAACAAACATGTGATTCAGAACACAGCATTAACTCAGTAAATACTGAATAGAAGTGTTCTAACTTGTAACTTCCAACAAATCCTGCACAGAGTTACTCCAGTCTAAATCCACTGACATCAATGGGCTCAGACTGGAGTAACTCTGCCTAGGACTGAGCTGTGCAATTTCCTTTTCCTTTGTGCGATCTTCTGGTGCTTTTCTTCCGGGGCTGGCAACGACAGACTCTTCTCCCTCTTCTCCCCCCCCCCCCCCCATCTGAACAATGACTCATTTCCCTCTCGGATTTGCCAGCTAAGCGCTCCTGACCGCCCCTTCTGGGGTGGAGGCTGCTGACTTTCCGCTGGAAAAAGAACAACGCACACAACCCTCCAGGAACGGGGGGCGGAGGGGGGGGGGTAGGGAAGTCGCTGATCAGCCCCTGGGAATGAGGAGAAAGGATCATGCTGGCGTCTCATCGCAGTCTCTTCGCTGGGGCACCCCAGTGTGAAGCTTTCCTAAGGCGCTCTCCCCCACCGATGTGGTTCAGATCTCTCGCAAGCACCTTGGGCGGGGTGGGGGGCGGTCGTAGGAATGCCCCCTCTCTTTGCCCGGCTTGAATTCTTTAGTCCTCTTATTGATTGTTGCACGCTTGGGGTCGAAGGAAGGCGGAGCACAGCGGCCCACAATCATGTATGCAAAACGAGGGGTTCTCAGGGCAGTGACCCTCCACTAAATTATTTCCCAAGCAGGGGCCAGGCAGGACGTCCCCCAAGGAGGGGCGCCAGGTTGATTTGAGGTCTGTTTCACGAATAGTTTTAGGCTGCGACCGCACACACTAAACAATCCACTTTCAGCGCACTTTCGAATTGGATTTTGCCAGTTCACACAGTAAGTGCATTGAAAGTGAATTATTTAGTTTGTGTGATCGCAGCCACCTGCTGTTTCTCCCTGGACTGCTTTTCTCTACCCCGAGGAGTCTCAGTGGCCTTCCCTCCCCCTCCCCACAACAGTCACCTTGTGAGGCAGGTGGGGGTGAGAGAGCTGTGACTGGCCCAAGGTCACCCAGCAGGCTTCAGGTGGAGGAGTGGGGAGTCAAACCCGGTTCTCCAGCTTAAAGACCGCCGCTCTGAACCGCCACACCAGGCTGGCTTACTTTGATTGCTTGTTGGTTTTTGTATTATTTTAATTGTAAGCAGCCTCAGGCGGACTCTAAGCAGGAGGCATGGACATCTCCTAAATGAATAAACTAGAGGTGCTGGCTATCAAAAAGGTCAGCTGAAATATTTAACCTTTCTCCCTCTCCTGGTTTTATCCCCCCCCCCCTTCCTCCCAGGAGCTCAGGGCGGCCTACAGCGTTCCCTCCTGGTCCAGGAAATGAATCTCCTTGAGCGTTGTTTTAGGGACCTCGATAAACACCTCCGTCGGTGTGGAAATTCTCTACTACAAGGGCCGGAGGCTACCTGTCAGCACCAGGCCTTCCTTCCTACCTGCTCTTTGCGAGCTGTTTTCTTTGCTTGAGGCCATACCCAAAAAAAAATACAGGGGGGGGGGGCTGCGGCTTACTAGCAGAGCATCTGCTTGGCACGCTGAAGGCCCCAGGTTCAATCTCCGGCATCCCCAGCTAAAAGGATCTGGCAGTAGGTGATATGAAAGATCTCGCCTAAGAGCCCGGAGAGCCGCCGCCGGTCTAACTAGACAATCCTGACTTTGCGGGACCAAAAAGGTCTGGTTCAGTAGAAGGCAGCTTCATGTCTTCAAGCCCCACCTTGGTTTAACAAGGGCGGGACCACTGAGAGGGCAGCATCCAGCGGGTCCGTCCAGGCCAATGAGGGCACCACGCAGGCTCCTCTGGCCTCGTGAGAATCAAAGCAATGGGGGGTGGGGGAGAGGACGACACACACGCAGCTCACATTTCAAGGCTGTGTTCACTCTGCTTCTCGCATTTACCAGCAGGTTGAAACCGTCGGGCAATCTGAGCCAAGGGTTTCAACAGCGACGCCTTTTGTATTCCAGTGTCTGACGGAGAGACATCGGGGTGGCTCAAGCGAGGCGACGCAGACAGATTCTTGAGCACCTCCCTGTCCCGGGGTGTCTTCCCCCCCCCTCCTTTTGAAGCCTCGGCCAGGCGGGTCAGCGCCCGAAAGGACAAGCCCGAAGACCCGTCCCCCGGCTCCACATCCCGGCTCCGCCTTGGGCTCTGGATGTCCGGACTGTGGCCCGCTTTGGCTTCAGCGGCGGCGGGTGGCCCAGAGCCAAAGGCAGCAATGAGGACAGGGCACCTGTCGTGTCAAATACCAAACCCCGCCTCCCTTCCGCCCGGCAGCGGCACATCGTTCCCCTTGGGGCGGGCGGGGGGGGGGGGCTCCCGCAGTTTGCCCTCGGCTCGGCCCAGACCAGTATTTGGGCTCAGGGTCCCGCTGAGGCCCCGCTTATATCAATACGAAAGACGGGGAGGGGGGCTTTCGAGAACAGCCTTTCGGGTACTCGTGCTCCTCGTTTGTCCCTTTTCCAGGTTCCATTTAGGGGAGAAAATATCTCTTCTAATTTTTGGGGGTGGTGGTGGCTGCGGTGAAAAATATCCAAATCTTCAGAATGGGGTTGTTGCTCACTCTTTAAATGAGCGCAATCGGTCTTGAGGCGATCTGAGACCAATTTTTACGGGGCTTTAAAACATGACGTTACCTAAAACAGAGGCTTTTAAGAAGCCAAGCCCCCTTTCACAGCCCTTTTGGGTCTGTCTTTTAAAAGGCTGTTTAACCTAAAGCCTCCTCTGCGCTGACACTTCTTGTAGTGATCCAGGTGCGTAGCCCTGTTGGTCTGAAGCAGAAGAACGAAGTTTGAGTCCAGTGGCACTCAAACATCATTAGAGAGATAGACATCAGCGGTGGGGAGTGCCAAAGAGGACGGGCCCGGGCAGAGCTGCATTTATGCGCAAACGATGTCAACTGCAGCGTAGAGCCTCAGATTAGGAAAATCTTTGTGAACCTAAATTGCTACCCTTTAGGGCCCCTGAGCACCCAGTTACGTGTCCTGAAAGTGTGCCGGCAGGTCCTGGAAGGCCCTCGACTCCCCCCACTTCCTTAAATACCTGGAGGAGCAAAAGGCAGATCGAACACAAGGACTCCACTGTAGATCAGATTTCATTTTATTGATGTGGGGTGTTTTTTTTGGGGGGGGGGCTTATCAGTGAGCGCCAAAAGCCGGGCGGAGACCCCGGCTACGGCCCGCCCAGGGGTCCAGCGGAGCCTTCCCAGGCTGGGCCGTTATTTGCCTGGTTCTGAAGGAATCGGACCACGTGGCGGTGTCCGGCCTCCTCGGCCAGGTGGAGGGGAAGCCGCTGGGAGGCGTCGGGCACATCGAGGCGAGCGCCGCCTTCGCGCAGCACCAGCAGCGTGTCCAGGAAGCCCTGGCGGGCCGCGTCGTGGCTCGGCAGCGCGCCGGTGGTGGGATCCGGGCGGTTGGGGTCGGCTCCTTTCCGAAGCAAGAGCTCCGCCACTTTGGGGCTTCCCATCATCATGACCTGGAGGGGAGGAAGAGGAGAGAGACGGTCAGCCAGTTGCCGCGCTTGGTCCCCTTTCTTTACGCGGAGCACTCTTTTGGCCCGGATTAAGAGCGCGGTGGTCCTGTGCAGAACCACTCCAGTGTCTTCAGCATCCAGACTGATTTCACTGTGTAGATGACAGTGCAGTAGTGGAAATGGATTTCTTAATTTTAGCCGGCTGGGCAGGTGTGAACCTGGAGCTGCTTCGGATCCTTCTACAGTACAGACCTACGCGGAGAGTCACTCCAAAGTAAACGCATTGCGGGATGCTGGAGTACTGTTCTTCTGCATAGGATTGCAACTGTAAAAGGTTACACTACCCCGATTCGAAGTGAATCGCCACTGCAACGTTGCGCTACCCGTTCTGGGATTAGCCCCCGAATGAGAATGTGAATGCCCCCCCGACTGCACCGTCGCCGTCTACATACTGGTCATGCAAAGAACGACCTGGGACATGCCACTTGCAAGATCTGAAAACGGGCAATTAATTATTTTGTAGCACAATTTTGGGCATTAAAAAACCCGAAGCTTCAGCATTCCTAAAAACGCTAACACCATGTGATCTACAACCTTATGCATATTTGCTCGGAAGGAAACCGCTGTCTTCACGGGGGCTTATTCTCAGGTCGTCTAGATACCGCTTGCGCAAAGAGGTCTTTGTATATTTCTGTTTTGCTTTCCAGATCTGAAATCAGGCAGTTAGTTTAACGATGTAAACCAAAAACAAAAGCAAGAATTGCAAGGACCTAAATTAGGGGGAGGGGGACATCCGCTAACAACTGCGCGATTTTGGGCATAAAAAAAAACCAAGCAAGCTTCGCATTCCTAAAAACCCTAACATCACGTGACCTGCAGCCTTCTGCGTATTTACTCAAAAGGACACCGCTGTCTGCATTGGGGATTATTCTCACGTCATCTACGTAGCGTTTATGCAAAGAGAGTCTTGGCATATTTGGCTTGCGAGGTCTGAAAACGGGCAGTTGTTGTAACTAATTTTTGAGCAAAAATATCTGATCACCAATTTGGGCATCAAAGAAATCTGCCTTTATTTCTGATCAGGGATCTGCCTACTTTGCCCTACCCATTTGGTACAACGGATGCCTGAATGGGAGAGGGCCCTGGATTCCGGAAATTGCCATCAACAGCCTAAAAAACATCCAGCACTGCAAGGAAGGTCAAAATGAACACTGTGAGCTGACTGCGAGCTGAGAATACTGAATAATGGCTGCTTCGATCATGTGATCGATCAGCGTCTACTAGCACTTCATTATGATTTTAGATTTATTTTAATTGTAACTTCTGTTTTAATGTATCTGTTATTATGTAAGCCGCCTTGAGCCTGCTCTAGCTGGGAGGGCGGAGTAGAAATTCAAAAAACAAACAAATGAATAATACTTTCTGATCAGAGAGTTGCCTATAACACCAGCCTCTCTTACAAGGTTCTAAGAATAACAGAAATACAGACCAAAACCAAAATTGCAGGGCCCTAAATTGGGGGGAGGGGGTCTGCGAACAACTGCAAGATTTTGGACATTAAAAAAAAAAAAAAACCTAAGCAAGCTTCAACAGGTCTGAAAATGGGCAGTTAGCTTAAGTAATTTCTGATCAGAAATTTGGACATAAAATCTGGGCATCTACCGGTAATTTCTGATCAAAAATGTGGGCATCAAAGAGATTTGCCTTTATTTCTGATCAGAAAAGTTGCATCTCTAACTAGGTTCTAAGAATGACAAAGATGCAGACCAAAGCCAATATTGCAGAGACCTAAATTAAGGGGGGGGGGGGGGAGATTAGCAAACAACTGCGCGATTTCGGGCATAAAATAAATCTAACCAAGCTTCAGCATTCCTAAAAACACCCGCAAAATGTGACCTGCAGTCTTATGCATGTCTCCTGGAAAGGGATTCGCCGTCTTCATTGGGGCTTTCTCGGGTCGCCTGTCTAGCGGCTGTGCAACGAAAGTCTTCGAATATTTCGCTGGCAAGGTCGGGAAAGGGGCCATTAAAGAACCTGCGAGCTGTCTTATTCAGCTCCAAAATGGCAGGAACAGGGGGGGGGGGGCGCAAGAATACAAGAATACAACCATATCTGTCTACTTGGAAGTAAGTACCTGGAGCCGCCTTCTGCTCCGCTAGCGAACACTACTGGCCCACCGGGGCTCTGGAAAGCCCCCCCAAAAAAATCCGAAACCCCCCCCCCCCCCCAAACCAGTGGCACTGGGAACTCTGTCCCGGGCCAGCCGGCTACCAAGTCGCCAGATCCTCCCCCCTGGCTGGGGAGGGGGACAAGCTCTGGCATGCATGTTGGGGGGGGGGAGGCACCGCCAGCGCAACCCACCCCCTGCCGGGGCTGCTTGCTGACCTCCCTTCCTTGGTCAGCAGCTGCTGCGGCTTCTCTGGCCACCCCGCGTTCCTCGTCTCCTGGTGAGGACAGGCACCTTTGGAAAGTTTCAACTGCGAGCGCGCACAACCTACCTCTAGCCAAACTTTTAAAACATTCCCTGCCAAGCGGACCGCGTAGAGGGCGGTGGACGGCTCCCACGAGCCACGGGCTTCTTTTAGCGCCCTCTTGTCCCCTCCCCCCCTGCCCCCCATCAGAACTCATCAGCTCTGTCCTTCGAGAATACTCTGCGGTCTGGAGGGACTGCTGGATTCAACGGGACGATCTCGCACATCTCCACGACCGGACAGACCGCCTCTACCTGGATCGGGGTCCTGCCGTAGGAGTTCACCCCGTTGGGGTCCGCCCCCTCCTGCAGCAGCCTCCGCACCCCCTCCAGGTCCCCCGCCGCGGCGGCCCGAGCCAGCCAGTCCGCCTGCATCGCCAAAGGCTCCCTTGACGCCTCTGAAAGGCGCGCAAGAGCTCCGCCCAACCGCGGCCCCCCCCCCCACCCGCCCCGCCGACCAGTCACGTGGCAGGCGCCGCAACCCTTCCTGCTGCGTCTCCCCCCTCATCTGCATCTCTCTGCTCTGATTGGACACGGGCGCTCACCGCACGCCAGTCAGGAAATCTACCGTGTGCCCAACCTAAGGAGCGTCTGCCCGCTCCCGCCCCTTCGCGGCGTCCCTTAATAATCAATCATCCTCCTATGGCAGTGCGTGTAGTGGAGCCAGGAGAGCCGAAGATCGTCTGGCAGTCTGAAACTCTAGCTCTTTTTGTGGCTAGCTGGGGGGGGGGGGCTGAGAGAACTGTGACTGACTCAAGGTCACCCAGCCGGCTGCATGTTAAAGGAGTGGGGAGTCCGCCGCCCTTAACCACTACACCACACAGGCTTTTCATTCCTCGGCAGCGCTTTCGCCCTTGAACAAAACAAGCCGGCATCTGCCGGGGCCCTCCTACCCGGCTCTACCCCCAGGGCTTCCAGAAGCCAGAGCTCTTCTTTTTGATTGGGTTTTATTTCCTCCAAGGACCTTCGGGGCGGCATACATGGGGGGAAAAAACCCTCCCTTTTACCTTCATACAACCACAGCCCTGCCAGGTGGGTTAATGCTGCTTCACCCCTTTGAACACTTTCCTTCTTCCTTTGTTTGTTTGTTCACTTCATTTATATTGGGTGAAATGTAAAAAAAATGTTTTAAAAAGTAAAATGTAAAAAATAATAATAATAAATCATTTGACTTGGAAGCACACAAGCTTCACTCAGTATCCCTGCCGCTCCACCAAGGATGGACAGGTAACAGAAATCCTTCTCCAACCCCGTTCCTGGTCGGGATCCTCCCTATTTGTGGGAGATTCCTGTGATTGATGTCGACAGACAGGGGGCACCGGGGGCGGGGCTTGGAGGAGGCATTTAAAGGCGGTGCACAGGCCACTGACGAGTGAACCCTTCAAATGGTTTTTGCACCGTTTCCTTCAAATTTCAGCATTGCAGGGCTGAGGGCTCCCTTTCGTTCCTCCCTCCGTGGGGAGGGGGTGGAAGCAAAAGGGATCACGCAAATGGCTTGCATCTGTTTCAGCCTAAGGGGCTGAAGCCTGACTTGGGACTGCTTTTTCCTCAGGGGGCTCCTCCGCTTTTTTACAGCCAGGTGCCAAACCGACGTTCCTGGAGCAGAAGTCCCCAGCGATCAAGAAAAGCTTCCCTCGTGGGATTAAACCCTCTAGAAGAGGTTAAAACTGCAAGTTTCTGTATCAGGCAGAGGTTTGGGGTTCGGAACACAAACCAAGGCGGAAATTCCTTAATGCCAGGTGTTAATTCCCATCCAAACTTCTTGCTTTGGGAAAAGGTTCCTTACCAAACGTTAAAACAAGGCAAAACTGAATTATTCACGAGGGCTTTTCTGCGCAGGCAATAGAGTTGCACTGTACTAAACGATTCACAAAGTTACTTCGAAAAATTATTAGGGACTGCGTTCTAGATTACTGTGTATAGCTTGTTGAAACTGGGATCCAGCTACGAAATTCTGCATCATTTAAGGGGTCATGTTAATACTTGCGTTTTGCTTCAGTTTTGTTTTTAGACTTCTGGTTGGTTCTCCAACCCTAATCCTATCGCATTGTTTACTGAAGGTCCCATCGGTGGTTTGCATCGACTCACTCTGTGTAATCCGCCTTGAGCCCAAGTGAGAAAGGCGGACTATAAATGACATAATTAGAGAGATAGACAGATAGATAGAACGCCTGGTAAGGCTGCATTTGTCCAATGAGGAGCTCCCCCAGGACAGGGTTTCAATTAAGACTGGCGTTTGCCAAGAGAAACGAGATGCTCGGAACCCGCAGAGGAGCGGACGCTGCAGTTCAGGCCACAGGAAGTTTCTGGTGACTCAGGAGGAGCGTGGCTTGGTGTAGGGTATTACAAGTTGAAAACACTCAGTATATCTGGGGTTAAATGTTTGTTTATGTTACTCACAAGAAGTCACATGTTTCTCATGTAACCAATGTTCTTTAGCCGTAGAAAGCCCGGGAGTTTTCTCCCTGATCTAGGAATTTGATTGGGACTAAAGTGTTAAGGTATATTACCATTTTAAGGCTTCTCTTCCCGTCTTTGGTGTCCTGAAGAACAAGAAGAGTAGCCATACTCTCTCTCTTCTAGTTTTGTCTTTGTAGAGTAAGGATGTAGCCGATTTTGCTCTGTTGTTATTTTCATCCCAGTTACCCTTCCCATGCTAGAATTTAGTAAAAACACATGGATTCTGAGTCTGAATTATTTTACTTTGGCTCTGCTGGACTATCTTATCTCTGCTAAATACAATTTTTTCAATATCTCACTATCACCCAACACTTGGAACAGACGCCCCTCAATACCAAGAAAAGTGACTCAGGCCCTGGTCACACGGCAAAGTACGGCTACTCTTCTTCTTCTTCAGAACACCAGAACAAAGACGGGAAGAGAAGCCATAAAATGGTAATATACCTTGACACTTTAGTCCCAATCAAATTCCTTAATCAGGGAGAAAATCAGGGAGAAATTTCTACAGCTAAAGAACATTGGTTACATGAGAAACATGTGACTTCCTGTGAGTAACATAAACAAACATTTAACCCCAGATATACTGAGTGTTTTCAACTTGTAATACCCAACAAAAGGTCAGGGGAGGAGCCGTGTTGGTTTGAAGCCGTGGAACAAAGGCTGAGTCCAGTGGCACCTTGAAGACCAACAAAGTTTTATTCAAAGGTATGAGCTTTCGTGTGTAAAGCAGACTTGTCCGAAGTGTGAATTTGTCTGAAAAAGTGTGCGTGCACACGAAATCTCATACCTTTGAATAAAACTTTGCTGGTCTTAAAGGTGCCACTGGACTCAAACTGTTTTGTGTGGGAAAGGTTAGCTGAAGTTTTTCAGGGCGTGGAGGCAAATGACCATTATCTGATAAACAGCATCCTGCCACAAGGCACTCCCCCCCCTTTCCATACAGTTAAAACCACAAGGCACTCCCACCCCCGCACCCCAGACAGTTGTCAACCCTGTTTCAGATCCTCAAAAAGTGTTTTGAGATGTTGGTGGTATCCACATTCTAAAATAATGGATTAAAAGTCGGCTGATTTGGAGTCCAGTGGCACCTTTAAGACCAATAAAGGTTTATTCACGGTATAAGCTTTCGTGTGCAAGGCACACTTTTACAAATACATTGGAATGAAAGGTAGCAGTTCGAATCTATAGACAGGCTGAACAGCAAATTAGCATGTAACGATGAAGATATTTTAAGATACGCGAAGACAAAACTAAATAACAAGCTAAGGTTATAAGGTCAACAGTCGTTTTGATTTAATTAAGGGGGCAAAAACAGTGCGACAATAAATGTCAAAATAGGAGATAAATCTGTAAGGTATCCTTTCTAATTGTGGGAAGTGAACTGCAATGCTCCCTTCATCACCTCTCAGGCGTGGAGGCAACCAACAGCATTTTTTTTTCTTTTTTAGGGAGTCAGCAAGACATTCCAATATTCCTTGCATTACATTCAGTATTCTAATATATTATTCTGAAAAGGAAATACCCTTCTTCTTCTTCTTCTTAAAGTACAGAAGATATATAGCCCTTCTTGTTGAAAGTACATATGTGAGAACCTTGAATAAACCTTTGTTGGTCTTAAAGGTGCCACTGGACTCCAAATTTGTTCTACTGCTTCAGACCAACACGGCTGCCCACCTGGATCTACAGTATATCGAGTTTGCTGGCAGTCTCCTGGATTTCTCAGCCGAGGGGCAGTCCTGTCGACTTACCACGAGTCCCCAAGTGGTGCCCTTGGGCGCCAAGACGCCTGCCGCCATCTTTCCTGGAGCCCACCGAATGTTCTTAGGAAGCGGGTGGGCTTTTGCCCTGCAAGGATTCTGATAGGCTACTGACAATTTGATTGGCTGTGAAGATTTTCAAAGAGGTTGCTTTGGCAGCCGCTGCCACCAGGACACAAGGATCTCTTCCCCGTGCGTGATTGAAGGTCCGCTACGGCGGCTGTTTTGTGACTGGCTCAGCCTCCTGCGGCACTCATGTTGGGGCAGCCCTTGCGTGGTTGACTGTGTCAGAATGCCAGCGGTGCCCTAAGACCCGAAAACAGGCTCCTGTGATTTGGGTTGTGGGTCGGCTTGCTGGGAGGACTGAGCCGAGCCGACTCTAAACCGCTCACCTCTCGGACCCTCTGTGGCGCAATACTAATTCCAGTGGGAGTAACCTTGATCAGGCCGTCCGCTCGCGATCACGGTGGCCTCCGCAGTCGCCAAGAGTGCGCACAATAAGGCTGCAGCATCCCAGGGGGGAAAGCTTTAAGTGGCGCGGAAGGAGCACCCTGTGGGAAGAGCATATTTCGTTTCCTTTTTGGCATCAGTTTAGGCCTGCACAGTTAGCCCATCGGGGTAAAACGTCCTGCAAGTAGAAAGGCAACAGTACAAGGAAAACTCTACGCTGAATTCTTTTTTTGGCATGCAAATCCCGGTAGGCCGGAAGGCAGCGTGTTAATAAAAAGGGGGTGGTGGTGATGGTTTCACCCCGTTCTTCTTCCTTAGACTCTATTTCTCTACCTGCAGGAAGCTGTTTTCGAGCGGAAACGTTCAGACATGCCCCCAAGCCTCAGCCAGATGCAGTGATTCTGATGCTCAGGATCGGGATTTCACGTGAAGTGCTTCAGGCCCATCTGAACAAGGCGTGCTCCGGATGTTGCCACCATGGTAGCCACAACAGCCATCGCCAGAAATGCAGACTCCCCCCCCCCTGTCCCCCTCACTCCCTTCACGATCACAAAAGCTGGGCACGCCAAAGGCGTGTGGCGTGAAGCGGTGGGTAGGGCACTGAACGGTGCCTGTCTGTTCTGCCCCCTTGAACTTTTCCAGACGGGTGAAACGCTGGGAGTCCAGAATGGGAAAGAAACGCCCGGTTGGTTTCCTGACAGGTTCCAG